CAGGCTATTATACAAGATGGAGAGAAATGAGAAAAAAAGGATTATGACAGAAAGGGAATGAGTTCTCTTCATCCCACACCCCAAAATAAATTCCAGATAAGCTAAAAAGTTAAAGTAAAAAATGCAACCAGATATTGGGTAGAAGAAAAGATTAATTTCACAACAATTTAAAACATTTGTACCATTAATAAAATTGAAAAGTAAACAACAAACTAGAAAGAAATATATGCGACACGTATCTCGGGTAAAAAGCTAAAAATTTTAACTTTCCTTTAAAAAGATAAAGAGCCCGTAGAAAAGTGGATAAAAGACATAAACTGAAAATTCTCAAGAGAAATACAAGTGGCCAGTAAACACATGAGAAAATATTCAAGTTCACAAAAAAACAAATACAAATTATGATGGAATACTATGTTTTATTTACCAAATTAACAGAGCATTTTTTAAAGATAGAAACAACTTATTCATCCACTATTTAACTGTATGGTTGGTTATTTATAGTGGAATTCCAAGGTGCCATTAATATTTATAGCATAAGGTATATTCATGCTATATTAAGTGGGGGAAAAAAGCTGCTACAGGATAACATAACACTAGCCAAACTTTTAAAACCAATTTTAAATGGATATAGATTTAAAAAAAATAATGTACAGCCCTTGAGCAAAATGTTACCATCGGTTAGCTCTGGGTTGTAGGATTATGATAACTTTTTCTTTTGCAATTCATACTTTGCTATTGTCTCCATTGTGTGATAAAGATGTATCCCTTTTCTAATCAGGAAAAAATTGAGCTATACTACAAGTGTGATAAAAAGCTGGAGAAAATGATGAAGACTTAATACCCCCTCGGTCAAAATTGTATTAGAAGATAGCAAACTCTACAACTCGGTACTCTTTTGAGATTTGAGGGTTTCATCCCCGGAGCCATTATCCTCCGTTAATAGGAAGGAAAGGAAAAGGGGGACGCAAAAATGAAACTGGAAAACTTACTCCAGCTAATCAAAGAACGTCAAGCAGCCTCTGATTTGTGATTACGCTAAAGGACATGTCAACATTGTGATGCTCTTTGTAATTATTTCTCTGGGTAAGGGAAAATAGTGTGGGTTTGTTTAAGTAATGTGCTGGGCTGGCGGGGGCGGGGGGGGGGTGTTTGCTCTCACTACAGAATGTTTTGAAATAAAACTTCAGCCTAGAATGTAAAGATTTTGTTTGGCACAAGGCTACGCATGAGCAAAACAGGAACGTAAAATGGTCCCATACCACCCCCTTGTGGCTTCCACTGTGTCACATCGGGAAACAGCCTAACCAGCCGAGAGGACGGAACCATGCATACCGTTTTCATAAATTCAACAAACACGTGTCCATTCTCTATTTGGTAGCAGGTGCTAACTATACTAGGATTAAAATATACCACTAAATCTCTTCGTACTTTATTCAGGCCATGCCAGCATTCGTAAACATTCACTTATTTGGGCCGAGTACACACATAGAAGTTGAGGTCATAAAAACTGAGCATCGCAAACCGGTGTCTCTTTAAAATACGGCTTTATCGGGCGCCTGGGTGGCTCAGTTGGTTAAGCGACTGCCTTCGGCTCAGGTCATGATCCTGGAGTCCCTGGATCGAGTCCCGCATCGGGCTCCCTGCTCG